AACAAATCAGCTATTGCAATGGCAAAGAATCCATGTTTTCATAGTAGAACAAGGCACATTGCAATCAAGTATCACTTCATTCGAGATGCAATTGAAGATGGAGAAGTTGAACTAAACTATTGCAAGTCCGAAGAACAAGTGGCGGATATCTTCACAAAGGTACTTCCGACATCAAAGTTTCAGCAACTAAGAGCTGCACTTGGAGTTCAAGAAAAACACATTAAGGGGGAGAATGTTGATGTGTAACGTATTTTAAAAAGTCAAAGAAATATTTCTTTATTTTGTCTAATCCAAGGGCTGTAAAATAGACAAGTGTAGGGCTGATTTTATGTCTTGTAGTAGGTTACAATTTCAGCCTTTATAATGTAAATAATTGCTGTTGTACGTTCAGTTTGAAAAAATCAGATTTTCACTTCTCTCCTACGTTTTTCCTCCTTCCCAGACTTCCCCTGTTTTCCCCTGTCTTCCCCTCCATTGCTGGTTTTACTGTCCAGTTTCTTCCTTCTTGTTGCTGGTGCGGAGCTGCTATTTTCTCCCCTACATGACAGGTTCACAAAGCTGTAAAAACATCCAACAGAGGCTTTTACAAGGAAAAATTGCAAGTCTAGCATTCTGATCTTCTTGTTCTCTTTTTGAATTGTTTAAAGAGTAAAAATTGGTGCGCATGATAAATTTTAGAATATTAATTTTCGTACAATATTTAGGGTTTGATAGTCTGTAAATTTTTAGTCTTACTTTCATATTTTTTCTATATGCTATTTTTTTTGAACAAATATCCTGTGCAAATTTAAGGGATTGGTCCGTCCCCATTCCCAACAACAATATTAGTTACATGTCATAAATATTTAAGTAACATTTGATAAGTTTTTAGCAAGTGGAGGCAATTTTCGGCAACTGACCTTAAAGAGAGCAAAAATTCGATATTCAACACACCAATTTAATGTTATGGATTTCATTAAATGGTACCAGAAAACTAATAACAATCTCTTCAAGAAACAAAAAATACAAACTCAAAAATAAAGAGCACGTAGATAAAATCATTGCAAAATCAAATAAAGTTTTCGCAGCAACACACGAATAAAACAAACTATTAATAAAGAAAACAAGAAGAGAAAAACATGTTCATAGCTTTGCATGTATGAAGACCGTGAAGAGTGAGGCTGATGATCATATTTGATATTCCCCCTTAGTCGCAGCAAGGAAAAGTCCAAATCTCTACTCTTTGTTTCAATTGGTTGGACTAGATTTGAATCAATCTTGCTCGTCCCAACTGAATTATGTTTCGGACCAAATGATCCTTCCAAGGTTGTATCACTATTGGTTGTCTTTCTGCATTGTGGCAGCATATTTGCATCATAACTTTCTCTCTTCGAAGTTTCTTCTAGCACTCTCATCTTAACTAAATCCCGTGAAACTCTTTCATCGCCCTCATTTCCTAGCGACTCCTTTCTTGACTTGCTTCGAGATGCAATAGCAAGATGATAAAGAATTACTCAAACAAAATATGCAAGGATTTTTTGAAGTGATATGAATAATTGTAAAGAAATATGAAAGAATATAGAGTATATCACAAGGAAACGTTTAAGGAAAAATTCAATTTGAAGGCATTGTAGAATTCAAAATCAAAGTGGAGATTTGTCAAAAGTTAACTTCATATTGTCCTACATAAAATATGTATTGAATTTGTATTGTCATGTACAGAATAAGAATTGAATTTATTTGTTCTAAAAATGAGCTTCTTGTTTCCTAAATAGAAGAGGAATGTGTGGTCAATTTCTTTTGCACATAATAAAGATCCCTCCTTTGTATTTTCTTAATTGTAGATTGTGAATTAATCATGGACTATTTTGATTGAGGCTTAGGAATCATTTGTAGTCTCAACCGGCATACATATTTTGGAGGGTGTACTTTGGTTTGAGGATAAGAGATACTTTGTAATTGTAACAATTTGCATTTAGTGGACAAGTTTTCTAGCGCCTCGTTTTTTTCAAGCTTTAGGGGTGCATTTGGTTATTTTTCAATTTTGTAAAATACCGAAAGCGTGTTTTGTCTGATATTTCTGAAAATGCATTTTCGAAAACAACGATCAATTTATAACATAAAAATTAAAACGCAATTTTGACATTTTAAGTGTTTTCAGTTAAAATTCTAAAAACACTCGAAACATGGGAAAAAAAGCTTTTAAATAAATTTTATTTAAATAAAAATTTAAAAAATAAAAATAGTTCCAACTAATGATTATTTACATATATTTTTTTAAAAAAAATTAACACACAAAAATATTTTAAGTCCACGTCATTAAATTTTTTTTTTATATTTTAAAATTAATTTGTTATTTTTTTAAATATTTTAATGAGAAAAAATATTATAAGATTCACCAATTTTAAAATGTATGTAATACCTGATAATCTATTAAAATAAAATTGTTCTAATTTTATTGGATAATCAAATTTAATGGAATATAATATCATAAAACAACTTTTCAAAAGTCCACGAGTTTTCTATTTTGAGAAATTATTTTTTTAAAATTACAAACCAAAAACATTATTAAAATTTTTAAAACAAACTCTCAAAACATAAAACCTAAAATAAACTCAAAGCTCAAAACTGAACGAATCATACCCTCGTTGTCAGTAAATGTTCACCAACCATTTATTTGACAATGAAAATTCATTGCTGTCGTACAATTTGACTATCATGTTATCTCCAACTCTAAAAATTAGCATATTTAATAAGCGAACAGGAAGTTAACACCCCATTGAATACAAGCAAAAAAACTAATTAATGACGAGGACACTCCAGTAAAACGAAAAGATCCAAATTGAGACTAATCGAACTGGATGAGTTTAACAGTGTATGCTAAAAATAAAGCAGTAGTTCCTCCTTTGCTTTCAGTTTTGCCCTCCTATGAGATGAGCCGAACGAGCATGAAAACTTACCTATTTTCCGATGACCGAAAGTAACTTCCGAATTCGCTCTTAGCAGCCCCTGGGAAAGCTATTGCTCTTCCCGTTTTGATTTTTGTGAAAACTAAATTTGTACTCTTAAGATTTTTAAGAATTCAATCCGATGGCCTGTCTTTCTGTCCCCATGGCATGGAAATTGCTTAACATCAGCAATGAAAAGCACGATGGCATGATTTATAGAATTTTGGCTTTGTCGTGTGTCGTGCATTGCACTTAAAAACAGTGGATGGGACACTGAGTCCAAATAATTGATGTTTTTTTTATTCATTTTGAAAAAGAAGGGCAATTCACATGGATTTTATTTATTTATTTATTTATTTTTATAATGACCAGGAACTACTGAATGGCTATATTCACTGGACATTTTCTTGGCAATTGGTGCCAGGTCCACAAAGTCGGCTATTTGCATTGTTTATTGAAATTATTGGCTTATGATTAAGCAAAATTTGAATTGTTTATCGAAATTATTGGCTTATGATTAAGCACAATTTGAATTGTTTATCTTGGCAGTTGGTGTCAAGTCCACAAAGTCGGCCATTTGTATTGTTTATAGAAATTATTGGCTTATGACTAAGCATCATTTTTTGCTAAATTAATAAATAATCCTTATTAATTCTTCTTTAGCATTTGAATTTATAATATTTCTTTTCACCATCAAGGGAGGTATTTTACATATACAAGCACCCTAGAGATATGTGATGCCATAGTATTCAATTTTTTCCTGGCATTTTCAGTGCGATCTTGATAATTGTCAAACATGTCAAGAGCTTACGATGAACACGAATTGCGAGTACGCAGCTACAAATCTCAATAATTTAAAATCAAGACTGTGTGTGTTTGAAACTTCACTTCTAGAGCTCATGTTACCTCTCGATTCTAAGGTCCAGTGAAACGAGGCCACGTGGCACAACACATGGCAGGTAGTCAACAAAGAAGTCAAAAGGCCGAGGTCCTTACACAGTATCTGAAGTCTTCACAGTGAATGACTAGAAGTTGGGAAAGAAGCTAACGTCCTCCATTTGAGAACCATCTCGGTTTTTTCCAAGGCACTCAATACATTCGAGGCTCACAAACCGATGTTGTTTCCTTCTAAAAGATTTGAGGATCTCTGAAGTGATTGATGTAACGCTTGTAATAAAGTTGTTAATGTGTTAGCCTATTGTATATTGCAGCTGACATCTTATCAATATATTAATTGTATGAGTAGACAGTGATGTGAAACCTTAGTTAGGGAAATGAGCCCACGTGGCACCGATCCAAAGGTTATCGCATCAGTCAAAGTCAGTATAAATAGGTAATATTTGTAATGAGACAGGGCATGGAAAATTGAGATCTGGATAATGCTATGCACAAAAAATACACTTGAACTCTCAAAAGAAAGGTTATTAACATTTCATCTATTCTTCCACATATTCTGGTCTGTGATTACATAGATTAAATCTGATTTTAATTCGGTAATCGTGGCTAGTACGATTGCTTCCATTCCATCTGCCAGAGCTCGAACAATCTTGTCTCTCACCGCAAAGTATTACCCCCATCCCTTTCTTCATATCTACCGTCATCGTTCTGGTAGGAACGCGCCGAAACCTTACTTGTCTTGATCACGTGAGTGTGCCCGACATCTATCGATTCATTTTTTGTGATCAACAACTCCCTCTCTCAATATCAAAACCTTATTGCAAAGATCATGGCCCTCTCATATCTTATTGTACTAATTCTTTTGTAGAGGGTACCAGTCGTGAATCTCAGTCTAACTTTGTTAACTTAGCCAAGGAAAATAAGCTCTAATTGCGTGATCAAGTTCAAAGTTTTATGTAAAAGGTTAACTATTCATTCAAAGAAAAAAAAGTCTTTTTGGTATAATAATAATAATAATAATAATAATAATAATAATAATAATAATAATAATAATAATAATAATAATAAAAGTTTAAACATTTAGGGTCAAATCTATTTATTTAAATCTTGCACTTTAGTTTAAACTTTTAGGGTCATATCTATTTATTTAAATCTTGCACTCAACATGACATTTCAAGTCTTTTTATTTTTTTTACTAAATTTTTTAACATATTCACAATTTTCATATACAGGTGATGTCGTGGAGGTGGGATTTTAGTTTAGTTCTTTTTCGTAGCTCCAAGACCATTTTAATCATTTCATTTAAAATTTAAGCTATTGAAGAGCGTCATGTGCATTCATCTGAATCTTATCTTCTGAAAGAGGATACTTGAAAATTACGGTAAATTTTCCGAAGATTACGCAGCATCCAAAAATTATGTAATTGGTCCACTTTGAATTTTTTCTTGTTTCTTTATAAATTAAAACTCAATCAATTAATCTTCCTTTTACATAAGGTATAATATAAGTAGATTTTCCCTAGATTCTTTGCACATATGACAAATTCCTCAACAGAAAAGTTGAATGTACTTCTCAACATTAATATAGAAAAATGAATTTAAAGTCATTGCAGAGAAAAACGTATATATAGATATTATAAAAATCACACTTTGCTCTTGTCAAGTTTAGCACCTGTTTCTCATTATTTCAAAATTCTTTTTTTCTACGTATTCATTTTCAACCACATATTCACACAGTAAAATGTACTACATGTAAAATAAAAAATTTTCCCTACTTTTTAACCATACATTTTTAAAAAATTCACTATTCAAAATAATTTTTTTTTCCACAGACATTGGCCACCAAAAAGGGGCTTTGTTAAAAATCAAATTTCTAGTAGATTTTGATAAAATCTAATTCAATGTGTAGTTGAAAAGTTGATAAAGTATTTGGTCCCAAAATGTGTTATTAAAATTAGTTATTGATTTTAATTCTGATTTTTATCAACTTTGTTAACTAAATCAACTTAATATCTTCTGTCTCTTTCGTGTAGATTTATTTGTGGAATTTGGTTATTTGAATTCTTATAGAGCTTCTTCAGTTGACCGAATTGAGGGTGAATATCAAGATGAGATACATAGAACAAAACGTGGATCAAGCGTATTCCGTGCTAACCTTATCTTCATTTATATCTGGCCCAATTACAAGACGTAAGGCACTGGAAGATAAATTAGTTGTCGTAATAGTAGCTCATCAGTGATTGAGAAATGCAAAACTCACACATATTATAATGTTCCTGAGTATTGATTTAGTTAGCACTTGTCTCGAAATAGATTATAGTCAATTTAAATAGTAAATAGATGGAAATGAATGTTTGGTAAATAGATAGTATACTACCAAAAAAATTTAAAACCGGTTTCTGGATACCGAACATATTAGTAGATAACAACTATTAATTGGTCGCTAAAACTTTTAGCGATCAAAAAGTTTTGGTTGTTTGGTGGTCGCTAATTCACTGTTGGTGAAGTTATCGACTAACTCACAACTGGTCACTAAATCTTTAACATTCAGCAGCCGTACTTTTGTTTTGAATTAGTCGCTAAATCTGGTTGGTATATGTTCATTGCTCACCATCAGCAATCAACAATGTTGTACGAAGACAATGCATCTTTAGCGATCAACAACCTACTAAAAATTCGGTGAAGTTTTGATGTAAATATGCACACAAAGAGGAGGAGAAAACGGAGATTTCATTAGATTAAAATGGTGTGAACTGGCTGGCATATATAGCCATCTTTGAGTACAATTCAAAAGTGTTTTCAATCACCAAATATTCTCCCTACTACCACTAAACCATACTTGTCAGATGCTAACTTGTAGTAGGTCCAAAACTTACTTAAGTGACACTTTATAATAAAGACTATAATTGAATACAAAATGCTCAGGATAAGTCAAAGCAAAAAAACATTCCTAAGGTGACAACAAAAGTGTCACATGGTTCATCACTCCTCCTTGACACTTTTGTTAGAAATGCCAAGACGTTCTCTTAGTGTTTCAAATCTTTCCTTAGGCAAAGCTTTGGTGAAAATGTCAATCCTTTCATGGAATACTGGATTTTTCACCATAGCTACAGCAGAAAGATTATCACAAAAAATGGTTGTTGCTTCAGATTGTTGATGCCTCAGATCCTTCATCATTTTCCTCAACCAGATGGCTTGATTTGTTGCCTCAGTTGCTACTATGTATTCTACTTCAGTAGTTGATTGTGCCACCATTTTTCACTTGATTGAATTCCAGCAAACAAAGCTTGAACCAGCATAGAAGGCATAGCCTGAAGTGCTCTTCATGTCATCAACAGATCCAGCTCAATCACTATTAGTGAAACCAGTTAACAACAACGTTTTTGACTTCTTAAAACTGATCCCAAACTCCTCTATTCCTCTGATGTATCTAAACACCCTTTTGGCAGCTTTGAAGTGAATTTCACTAGTTCTTGTCTGAATCTTGACAGCATATTCACAGCAAACATTAGGTCTGGTCTGGTGGCAGTTAGGTAGAGCAAACAACCAATTAAACTTCTATAAACCTTCTCATCAATCTTCTTTGCTCCATCATCTTTCAACAATTTTAAGTTCTGAACTAAAGGAGTGTTAACTGATTTGAAATTTTCCATATTAAACTTTCTTAACACCTCTTTAGCAGATCTCTTTTGGCAAACAAAAATTCCATCATTTGATTGATCAACCTGCATTCCAAGAAAGTACTTCATTTTACCCAAATATGTCATTTCAAATACCTTCTTCATTTCATCCTTGACCAATTCAATTAAAGCAACATTACTACCCGTGATTAGGAGGTCATCAACATATAGAGAAATAATGATCAAATCATCTACTCGTTTGATGTAAAATGTTTGTTCATTGATACTTTTGTTGAAACCAAGGCTGGTCAAGTATTTATCTATTCTGCTGTACCAAGATCTTGGCGCCTGCTTTAAACCATATAAGGCTTTCCTTAATAGGTATACCTTATCCTCCTTTCCATCTATGATAAAGCTTTCAGGTTGCTCAATAAATTTTTTTTCATTCAAGTCCCCATTCAGGAAGGAAAATTTCACATCTAACTGGAATATCATCTATTCTGACTGAGCAGTAGTGGAAAACAGCAACCTTATTGTTTCAAACCTAGCCACTTGAGCAAAGGTGTCAGTAAATCGACTACATATTGCTGAGCATAACCTTTTACAACTAGACTAGCCTTGAACTTGTTGACAGAACTATCAGCATTCATTTTGGTCCTATAAACCCATTTTACTCCAATGACATTCTTATTTTTTGGTCTATCAACCAGCATCCAATTCCATTCTTTTCAATTACCTTAAGCTCCTCCTTCATTGCATCTAACTGAGCTTGAGAATCAGCTGCTTTAGTAAAAGTTGAAGGCTCCTGAACTGCTGTATTTTAGGTAACATAGATATCTTCAAGTGATTTAGTTCTGATCACTTCATTCTCTGAATCTGATCCATCATCAGGTTCAGCCTCAATTTTAGCTTCTCTATCATGTAGAGTCAGT